ATTCGGCATAACCATGTGAAATAATCTAAAGAGCAACTGGAATGAGGGAGTGAAAGGAGAGGCAGAGGAAGCTGCTTTTTTTTCGGTCAAAAGAAGAGAGGAGAGGGAGAGGAGAGGAGAGGAGAGGAGAGGAGAGGAGAGGAGAGGAGAGGGCTTCTGCTGTAATTAGAGCCGGGCTTGAATCAGGATCACGGGTCTCAAACATGCAGATGTGAATCTGAACTTTATTCACTTGATTCTGTTTCTAATTATAATGCTGCATTTTCTGCTTGCTAATTTCTCATAAAGGCTGTCAAGCAGCAGAACTATTAATATATGTTTCTTGTTTTGTGGGTTTTGTTTTTTTTTTTTTCAGCAGTGAATTAACAGGCTGAAAGGAACAAACATTGAAACTACTGTAAATTTAGTAGGTCAGGGAAACTTGAGGATTGAACCCAGTGGCCTAGTTTATTGCAGTCATGACACAAACTGTTCTGTTTGTACAGGAGGACTTTTATTCTTCAGAAGCACAGAAGGTTGCAAGTTAATTGCAATTAACTGTTTTTTCCCCCTCCCTTCCTTGACCAAGGCAACTACCTCAGGTCATAGAAGCGGAAGCCAGAATTAATGTATGTGGATAAGAAATGTAAAGTAAAATACACCTGAGCTTTTGCTTTGATTATGGTGACAGTAAAAATTTAGTATGGGAAGAAAATATTACAATAATATATATAAAATATTGCATATTTAAAGAAATCTATTTTATGTTAAATTCTAACTCTATATTGCCAATTATTTTCAAATTAAAGAGATTTCAATGTTTGGGTTTTTTTTTCTAATGTAAATAAGTGCTCTGAAGAGATAATCAGATTCATAAAGTGGGCAGTGATTAGCTGTGGAATATTACTTACCTGAAGAGTGAAAAATAAAGTACAGCATTATTTGTTATCCTGGTGAAACAACTCATCAATTAGTTGACACTAACTGAATGAAAGCAAAATGTGACTGAAAATAATATCATAAAGAGTGTCGTCCCTTTAAATTCTGGTGGTTAAGCATGGTGGGTGTTTTAAGTTACAACTTGCAAAGATCCTGATTAGTCTGGTGACAGATTCATATCAGACATCTATTTACAGCGTCTCCATTACCTCAGGATCCAAAAACAAACCACGTCCAGACCACGCTTCCCCACTCCCCAAGCTGCAGGGCTTTCCTAAATGACTATAATAATGAAAACTATTTATTTTAAGAAGGTAATAAATAGTACTGAGTGTTTTGTTCTGTCTTTGATGCAGACTTGACAGCCCTAATGCTTCGGGCAGTAAGCTGCAACTTTGAAACTCCGAAACGACCGTGGGTCTGGAAATGGCTGTTTCGCAGCCTGCCCGGTGCATCCTTGCTCTGTTGCATTTGCTGCCCCTGCCCTTGCCAGCTCCACCGTCTGTGCAATCAGCTGGAGGTGGCTGGGATGCCTCCGACTTGTTGTACTTGTGCAGATAAGCAGTGCACGCAGGGGAGAGCTGTCACGACCCACGACATAACCTGAGATATTTGTAGGTCCGTCGGTGCAGCCTGTGGCTTGTGAGGAGCTGGTTTGCCACTGAATATGAGAGTTCTGGAGGGTGAAAGTGTTAAATAGATTTGAGACCTTTCTTCACGTATACCTTTGAGGTTGGTCACCAGAACTATGTGTAAGCTGAAGAACCTGGGAATGTTTGACAGTTTACAGGCTTGGGTGTTTGTCTTGGCTAAGTCATCGCTCCTTGTCAGGACAAAATCCATGCATGACCCAGGTCCTCTCCCACTTTCTTCTTGAGATATACAGGCACATACGTTATGGTGGGATCTATGACAAGTCCCCAGTCTGGGCAACTGTAAGGTCAGAACAAGGAGGAGGGCTGTGAAGAGCATGGCAGTCTGTCAGTAGTGGCAAAAATGCAGGACCTCTGTTGTCCCAATCACATCCTCAAACTAGAAACGTTACCGAAACCACTGCGTGTTGCAGGGAGGAAGCTTGCATGCTTATGAAATCTGTATCGTTTCTTCCACGGTGGATCCCACATAACGGTGATGGGCTCTGCTTCCCGGGCAGCACGCTGCTCTTGGGCCACAGAGGGTCTTTCTGTTCCAGACCGTGGTGAAATCAGCTGACAACGAGGACAGAGCTGGCCATTATGTCAGTACTGAATGCCGATGGGGGTCTGGGGTAGTTTTAGTCAAGCTTTCCTTCTTCTTAGTCTTGGGAGTTTGCTTAGGGTTGGAGCTAGTTTTTGCATGGCAATGGCCATTTCATTTTGTGCTGACTAGATCTGCCTCTCTGTCACCAAGCGTAGCTGGATGAAAATGCGGGGTGAAGGCCAGGTTAGGTGCACTGTTCTGCTAGCAAACCCTCTCCACTTGTATTTGTAAGCCACTACCTGCCCCATCGGACTGCATCTGTCCCCACATCAGACCCTCTTCCCTGGGATTTATTCACCTTGATGTGCCTGCAGGGGCTGTGTTGACTGAAAGAGGTCAGAGAAGTAATCCCCGTCCTCCTCCAGTGTCCACGTGTCCTCCCAGATCTGTCCCCCAGAAGTAAGGCTCCCCAGTCACTTTGGGGATGTGGATGTGTTGGTGGAGTCATAGATCTACAACCATATTTCAGATCTTGGCCATTGTCTTCTAAAGCAGGCCATGCTGGCTGCATGTAAGAGAAGGAAACTTCTAGACAAAACTAACTTAATTAATAATTAATTAGGACAAACATGTTCAGAGTCTGCCAGTGACTACAGCCTCAGCTGCTGCTATGGACACCCTCTTGCAAAATGCTAAGAGACTTTACTCTGTGAAGGTCCTTTTGAAGTTACTGCTGCTTCTGGGATTCCTCTTTCTGCTTTGCAAAAAAAATTTTTTTAATCCCTTCTGTTAGAAGAAACAACCTAGGCTTATGTGTTCATAATGTCAGTGAGGTTTTTCTGAACTCTCCCTGCCTTTCCATTTACACTCACATTCAGGGATGTTTGAGTTGTTCAGAGATGGGGCTCTTGGCTTAGTGGCAGGACATGCTCCACAGAAGACTTTCTGAGTGGGATCTCGATGAGATAGGGGAGATTCTTCAGCTTTTTCCAAAGAGATGCTGGCAAACCTACCATCCTCCTCCATGAGAGAGAGAAGCATGGAGATTTCAGTCGGAAGAAATATCCCCTATGTTGGCAAATAATTATAAACTGAAAACTTGGTGGAACTGGGATAAATAACCATAGGACAAGTCCTCATGGGCTGTATTCAGAAAGACAACATACACATCTCTCTATCTGCTTGGGTTTGGTGTACGTAGTTTGACTGAGAACCCATACAGGGGTGTGTATAATGTTTTTAACTGGGAAATCAGAGAAGACACGTTTTTACTCTAGGTAACAGAACCAGGAGCGACAGCTATTTCACTACACATCTTGCCTTAGCCACCCACCCTGATAATTATTAGGCAATTCAGACTGTGCTTCCCTATACTGAGGCATGACCTTGAGGTTATCCTCCAGCCAGCTCTGCTAACTATCCTTAAACCTGTACACTTCGTAGCTGAGTGGTCCTCAGTCATCCCTGCACCATGGGCAACCATAGGGAGCAAGTGATACACAGCCAGTAATGTCAGTCTTTATTAAGAAACTCTGTGTACTAACACAGGCTGAGAGCACGGACACATAGGCGTACTTACAGTAAGCCCTGTCTGTTCGCTCATGTATCAGCCAAGATGCTCATTTCAGTCATTGATAGGTGCTTTACATGCACAACAGCATCAGCATGATTTCTGATGGTGTTTTTCTCCTATTCAGCCCTATGCACAGGCAAAGCAAGCAGTGACCTAAAGTGGTGGAGGATGACAAATTGTCTGTAGCCTTGCTGCTTATTTTGCCTGGAAAGAGGAACTGGCTACTGTCACTGCCATCGAGGAGGGGAACGGTTTGGTGGGACAGCTGCTGGTGGGAAGGGAGGGAAGCCCAGCCCCAGGGCGTGCAGTTGCCGTCCTGTCTGATGTCCCTCAGCAGCAATAGAAGCAGCAATCCTTGTTTTCTAGGGCTGCCCCTGGCTCTCCTCAAAACATGGGAGTTTGAGTGACCCTTGCACAGATCATGTAGGTTTAGTACGTGACAAAAGTCTCCATATACTGACATCTTGTCAGAAAACTCCCCACTGCGGGAAAAAAAAATCTTGTGCCCAAAACAGTTTCACCAAGTCTATAAATTTGAGATTTGTTATGGAATAAGTTATGCTTTGTATTTTAAAGCCAACTATGGAAAAGTGAGTAATGTTCTGTAGAAATGAGAGAGGCTAAAAAAAAAATCAAGCCAATGAAATATAGGATAATGTTTGCCTTTCAGCATTACAGCTTGTGCCATGACCATGAATAAATACGTGGAGGAAAATGTTTCTCAAAAATCCTATACGACAATAAAGTATTTCATGAAGATGCTCAGCAGTGTCAGTGAGACCTTAATCTTCATCTTCATGGGAGTGTCGACAGTTGGGAAGAACCATGAGTGGAACTGGGCCTTCGTTAGCTTCACCCTCCTTTTCTGTTTAATCTGGAGGGCACTGGGTAAGCAAGTCTCAGATTATGTGTCAGTATTCCTTGCAAGTGAAACTTTGTACCTCTTCTCAAGTAGAAAATGCCAAAATTTAGACAAAGTCCAATCAACTTGTAGAATGGCCTTATTTGTATCATGTCCGGGATGATAGGATCAACTTCCACCTTCCCCCAAAACAGAACCCAAAAATCAGTTTGGTCCTGATCTTGCCCATCTAAAGTCAGAGGCAGTCTGCTTGTTAATCAGAGTACATGTATTTAAGTAAATATTTATGTACAAATAAGCAAATTTTGCTTAAAAGAATTAGCAGTTGTAAAACAATTAAACAGATTGTGGGGTTTTTTTAATTTATGTTTGCTAGCTTTGGGATTTTTCCAGTCATTGGCATAAATAGCATCAAAACAGGAAACGCTGTAGTTGAAGTGTTGTTCAGGTATATATTGTGAAGAAAAAAATTCCTGTAAGAAACTGATTGATCCCTTGTGAGTTTGCAGTACTAGCTCTTTTTCTTTTACTTCAAGACCTAAGTGCAGGTCAGGCTCGTAGGTCTTAAACCTGCCCCTCGCCCCGGTTTCATCTGTAAAGATTCGGTCTCTCTGTGCATAAAGGCAGCTCATGCTCTGATCTGCCTCTGCACCCCTGCTTCCAGCTCCCACATCTCCCTCCGGTGCAGAAATCTGGACTGTCTTCCCTTCTGTGCCTGCAACCCCACAATTAATACTTCATGCTGAAAAGCAGCCTGACTGCCCCACAGCTCCTGACTCCCATACTTTCTCCCTTCTCCTGCCTTTACACCTTTACTGCCACATCCCTGGAGCCTTTGCCATCGTTACAGCAGCATGTGCTGGCATCTTCTCCCTCCATCCCCAATCCTGCATCCTTCCTGTCTGTGCAAGTAAAATTAAGTGAGTGAAGAGGAGTTTGCAGGGTTCAAAGCACAGATTGATGGAGGTGGCAAGCTAAAGTGTTCAAAAGCACCTCAAATCCTATTAAGAACAAAATTAGGAGTCTTGGTCTATACTGATGCAGAGAGTTATTGCTGTTCTAGAGGTGCAGACTCTAGCAGATAGCTGTCTTGTGGAGATCAATTAGCTGCTTCAGGTCCTAAATCCAGCTGACCTGAGGTGGTTAGCTCACTAAATATGTTTAAGATGATGTTCCTTAGGCATTTTAAATTTTTCTTCGATGGTGTTTTCAAGCTGCTAAGTTACATTTCAATTCTTCGATAATATATAGGTAAGACGTGTTTTAAAACAAATATTAGCATTGTGGGGGATTTCTGTGTAATTTAATTTCCCTTTTCTTCCCTCCTCCCTCTGTTTCTGTTTTTTTCTCTCAGGTGTTTTTGTTCTGACTCAGATCATTAATGTGTTCCGGACAATTCCTCTCACTTTCAAGGACCAGTTTATTATCGCCTATGGAGGCCTCCGAGGAGCTATTTGTTTTTCACTTGTATTTCTGCTTCCTCCTGCTGTGTTTCCCAGGAAGAAATTGTTCATCACTGCTGTTATCGTGGTGATATTCTTTACCGTTTTCATTCAGGTAATGCCTTTCCTCTTCTGGACTTCTTTTTTCTCAGACAGGTTGTAAATAAGCAGTGGGTAGAAAAACAAATGTCCTAACTTACTGGAAGGAACATACTTGAAGGTACTCTCCATGGTCATAGTTCTTAAAAAAATGCTATGCAGACTGCAGACAGGTAGCAAAAGTATGCCAGATATTAAGTACTTAAGCTAACATCTAAGTAGTATTAAGCATTTAAGACCTAGTGAGGTTGGAGTAGAGATAAAAGATAATCTGGGTACAGCCCCAGCCCTAAGTCCTTGTTAGAATATTTAAAGTTGTGCATTTACTCAGGAGTGCGGTGTTGGATACGGTGCCCAGTGAGCAGGAGATGGAAGAGGCTGAGGGCGCTGGGAGGTGAACGGGGGTGTTTGGGTGTTAGGCAGCGATGCTGCAAACCAGCTGGACACCCATCCAAAAGCACCAGGTGTGTGGAAGAACATGAAGAACTTGTCTCTGGTGTCAACCTGGCTGTGGAGGCTTGGTCAAGAGGGACCGAGGAAAGTGAGTGAAACCAGCAAAAGGTAGAGGAGGCTCAGCCCCTTAAATAAACATGTTGGGCTAGTTGTTATCCAGAGTGGTGGGAGACATGTGAGAGGCTAGTACATGGAATTTCGGGTCTGTGGGAAAAATTGTATTTTTTTAGACTACCTTTTACATGGATAAAGGTGCCATGGGAAGCAGCAAGTATCTGTGCTCATGATTGGGAAAGGGGAAAAGGTGTCTGGAGCAGCTGGAGGTCAGTTAGTTTGACCTTAGCATGTAACCTGTGAAAAATGATTTTGAAGGATAGAATAATTTAAAATATGGAGGTAAATGGAATGTGTTATGAACTGCAGTGTGGTTTACCAAAGGGAGACCTGGTATCATTCTTTGATAAGGAAATTTTTTTTCTGCAGTCATCTCATCTAACTGGACTATTGTAAAATCTTTGGGGGAGGAGGCTACAGAGGACATTGTTAGCTTAACTACTGGTTAAATTGAGGTTTAACTTGACATTAGGGTGATTGTAAAGTGAATGAGGAAGGAGCTGACAGTTTCTCCTGTAAAGGGAAATAGAAGCATATGGTCCTTTGGGTCAGAAAGGACCTCTGGGAGTCTCTAGTCCAACCCTGTGCCCAAAGCAAGGCCTCCACCAAAGCTAAATGATTGCTCAGGGCCATGTCAAGATGAGTTCTGAATATCTCTATGGATGGCGATTCCTCAGACAATCTGGGCACCTGCTCCAGCGTTTGACCACCCTAGTCAGATAATAGGCTGAGGAGATTTTGTTAATGGAATTCCTCAAGGATGGTTCCTGGGGATGGTTTCTCTTAATATTCTTGTTATTGACCATGGCACATGAACATAGGAGTTTTTTGTTGTTGATGTTTCTTGATGACAGACTTTGGAAGGTGTGACAGCAAGATGGGGTACCATGTAGAAAGAAGAGAATAACTGAGGGCCAATATGATAGAAACAGAATGAAATTGAACAGTAGTAAGTGTGAACGTGTTCTTGCTAGGACTTTCTTACTAGGGATTTCTCTTATGAAATGAGAACCTTTTGTTTGGAAAAAAATAGAAAGGGAAAAAGACACAGCTGTACTAGTTGATAATGGGGCAGACTTTAAGCCACCAATGCAGTGGGAGACAGAAGAAAGGCAAATCTGATCTTAAGATACACCGAGACACGTATTTCCATCAGAGAATAGTGTCATGTTCTAGAGTGATCATGGGACTGGTAAGCGTGTCATGTGAAAGGAAACTAGGATGCCTTGGCCTTAGCAAAATGACGGAGAAGAGGGAATATAATTACTGTTTATAGAAGGGAGTGAACACCAGAGAAGGAGGAACACTGTTTAAACTAAAAAGACAAATGTGGGCACAAGAACAAAGCAGTACAAAGTGACCATGATGCAATTAAGCAGCAGCTTTCTAATTATCAGAACAATGAAGTTCAGGATGAGTGTTCCAGTATGAGCAATGGGGCAAAGAAACCTAACTACTTTTAAGATAAAGTTCGATTCATTTACAAAAAGAAATATGTGACCTGGTTGTCTGGGATGGTAGAGACTGATCTCAACACCATGAGAGATTCATTCCTCTCCCCTGTGCCCATACGCCTATACAAATAAACAAATGACGTCAATTCTTCCACAAATAATTGTTCAAAACCATTATATCATTCTGGGATAGCCAAAACTTTTTGTTCTTTCTCTGAGAAAGGCAAGGACACATATTGACAAAAAGTCATAGTGTCACAATCTTGAATAGCAATTTTAGTGCTCCTGTTGACACATCTTTGAGTACCTGTTTTGGAAGTAATCACTAAAAAAGAGGACTTTTTGTGTTTGCTTTGAAATGTTGGGGATCTGTTTGTTAATTCTGAAAACAAGTGAGGGTTTTTCTAATATATAACAGAACTGAAAAAGAGGTTTAAAAATACTATGGATGGGGTAAGTGACGTATTCCTGATGGGGTTTGTCAGATTGCCCCTCTTGGACCTCTCAGCCCTAGGGAGCCCCTTCCTTCCTTCGGTTGCATTAGTGGAGTCTGTGTGCTGACAAGGACTTCATAGCTAAGTGCAACACCTGCTAATCACCAGAGTGAATTCATTATTATAATTATTGTGTCGGGCTGGATTTTGGGGTTAGGCAGGTTAAAGGGTATCCAGAGCTAAAAAGGTATCCACAGCCATTTTCAATGCTCTGAAAGAGATGGAAAAGACTGAAAGGCTTTGTTTTTTCTTTATGTTTATGGAAAAAAAACCCAGAACTGTTTGCTTTTTTTTTTTTCCCCCTCCTTTCTTCACAGGGAATAACAATTCGCCCACTGGTGGAGTTTCTTGACGTCAAAAGGTCAAATAAAAAGCAGCCTGCTGTCAGTGAAGAAATTTATAACAGGGTATGTTGCAGCTTCAGTGTCATAGGTGAAACCCTCATATAGATGAAATTCCTACTGGCTTTGAGTAAGACAAGGATTCAGCATAGAGTATTACAGAGAGGCACACGCTCTTTTAGATTTCTTTTTGGTAGCTGTTATAAGCACAGTAACTGCAAAGCTTATATTTAACCTTTGGCAATTACCAAAATTAACATTATTACGTACAATTATTTTGGAATCTTCACCTTCTTAATTGTTCACCTCTTGAGGTAAATGAACTTTCTGTAGTTTGTTTCACATGTGAGATACATCTTATTTTAGAACTTGGCTACATTAGGAAACCTTTGCCAATTTAATTACATTAAATTGCATTTGAGTTAGTCTTATTTAACGAATGCAAACTCCTCCTAAACACACTCTTAAACTTGGTTAACTCTCACATCATTAGCCTCTTTATGGATTTGTATTTGGTACGTGTATATCTCCCAATTACTGCAGTTTATTAGCCATGCATATTCTTGAATGTATTTCTCCTTGCAGCATACCTGTGGCAGGTGTTTGAAATTCAAAAAATGAGAAATAATAAGGGCCACATTCAGCAAAGAAGTCAATCTAAACATCTAAAAGTCTGTCCTTTTAAAGCTTATCCTTTGGACATTCCTACCAGGATTTCCCCCTGAGTTTGAGACCCTTACCATGGTACTTGAATTAAAAGCAAATGAGCTGCCTCTGGCGATCAAGTGAGATCTTAGCTGAACTGATTCATTCTTTTGTAATTCATAATAGGCTGAGAGAGAGTATGTTTCTAATATTGGATGATCTGGACACTTTGAGGTGAGGCTAGACCACAGTTCCCTAAAATAGGAGCTCAGGACCTGATGCTGGGTATCTCAGCTCTGTCCTGTGCCTCCTGAGGGGCCCCGATGCTGATGAGGGGATGTGGGGAGCTGCTGCCCACTCAGGCTCTCTCCTCCACAAAGTCATACCTGGTTCACTGTCAGGCCTGGGGAAGAGTCCTGAGAGAAGTCCCAGGCATAGCCCTGAGTGGTTAGGGAACTTAAGAGAAAATATGGGGAAAACCTCCAAATTCAGGCAGGAGCTGAGCAAGACTGACATTGAGGAAATTGGCAACTAACTTCTGTCCTTTTGGGGCTGTGAGCTAAGGAAGCTCCAGGGGAACAAAACAGAGTCTGTCTCTGAGTTTGATTAGACTAAATTTAAACTGAAGCATCGTCCTGAATTCTGACTAAATGCTTGTATTTTGAAGTTAGAAACTCCTAATGTCTAAGGGCAAACCAAGTGATGTCTCCAAGTTTCTGTAATGAATCGATGTTTCCCTTTAGTTCTTTGACCACGTGAAGACTGGAATTGAAGATGTGTGTGGACACTGGGGTCACAACTTTTGGAGAGATAAGTAAGAATGGCATTTAAAACTCTTTGTTATACAGGAGAGGCTGAACTGGCTCAGCAGCAATGAATGAAGGCTGTTGGGCATCATATTTCATTTTCGGCATTTTATTCTTGAAAGTGGACGGTTGTTTTTAGAACGTGTGGGTTACAAAGGGAAAGCAGCAAAACAATGTCTTTTTACTAAACCACAAGCAAGTAGAACAAAGTCTCCAGCTGGGAAGAAAGGCAACCCTCTGATCCCAGGGTAAAGTATGGTACCATCTGAGGGTGCGTGTCCTCTCCCTGTTTCTGTTTCAGAGCATTTCCTGTATGTCTGCTGCGCCTTTCATCCCATCTGGATTTCCTCCTGCAAATTGTATGTCTCTGCGGTGTTAAGTGCGGGGTTAGTTCCCTGTTTGATGGGAAACATGCAAAAGTTTGGGGACTTTCTCTGGAAAGGTCAAGGCACCAGTTGGCATCAGGTGCATGAGAGATCCTTATGGCAGGCAGCTCCACAGTTCTTGATGGTATTATTTAAGACAGTGTCAGTTAAGAAGATTACCACTGGCAATACCTGAATAATTCATGTTTTCACTTTAGCTGCTGAATCATCATCGTCATCATTGGTTTGGATCTAACTCCCTTTTCTCAAAAGTACACTCTTTTACACCCAAATCCTTCAGATCCAAAGTGTGGGCATTGCTCCCCCACCTTCTAGTCGCTGCTCCAACAAGAATTTAAGTGTTTTATAGAAAGAGGAATAGCACCAGCAGGAAGGGCTGAGAAGAGCCCTCTCCAAATGCCTTGAGGGCAGCACAGTGAGGACACTCTCCTGACAGATGCATGACATGGGTACAACTTTCCTTTGCTCCGCCAGGTTCTCCTCCATTCTGTGTGAGATCTTTAATTAACAGATTACAGAGCAAAGGAGGGTCCCACCACTTCATGACCTTCAGACTCAAATTCAAGAATAATTTCAGAATGGCCAGAGGGCAAAATATTTTCAGACAAACAAAATCGTCCCAGCTGTAATCAATATTTTTTCACTAAGCGTCCAAGAGGGTTGCAGTTGCTTTAGAGGAAAGGAGAGCTTCCAAAGCTTTACAAGAGCAGGCTAAAATTTCAAAGAAAAAGCAGTCGGTGCAAATTTAGACCTTTTATTTGTTATTACAGTAAATATTTAATGTTCTCTTTGTCTCGATGAAAATGGAGAATTAAAAATAATATTGTCTAATAACACAGAATACCTCAAAGTTAAAATTTGCTGCTAGGGAGACTGTCCATTAACGTATTAACCAAAACACAGAATAAGACTATATATCTGAAACAAAGATGAACTTGACCTTCTTTTAGGTTACTCAGCAGTAGGTTGTTAATATGAAGAGACACATTCCCAGGGAATAAACTCCTTCACAATTGCATTAGCTACAGTATATTGACTTTCCTTAACTACGCACAGTAAAAATTAACTGGTTGGATTGGTTTGCCTCATGTACAGGTTTAAAAAGTTTGACAATAAATACCTGCGAAGACTTTTAATCCGGGAGAACCAGCCCAAATCCAGCATTGTTTCTTTATACAAGAAGCTGGAAATCAAACACGCCATTGAGATGGCAGAGAGCGGAATGATAAGCAAGGTCCCATCGTCGGTGTCTCTCAGGTAAGCAAATGATGCCGGCGTGGCCAAGGATTTTGGCTGGGTAACGTAATTTATTTCACAGCCCAATCTGTAGGCAGGAATAATCACTTTGACTTAGGACACTTTGCGTCCAAATGTCACCTGAACAGTAAGCGGATACAAAACAGGAGTGCTTTGCCTGCAGCTCACACACGAAGCGCTCGGTGAGCCGTGCTTTTCCGGAGCGTGTAGTTTTACAAGGGCAGCTGCTCATGGGAACATTGATTTGCCATGTAGAGCAGAGCTGGATTTGAACCAGTGCCTGCCCACCTGCTGCAAATAGCTACAGGGGAAGCCTGAGGGGCATTTTGAAAAGTACCTTAATCAAATTTACAATTTAAAGTAATTTATATCAAATTTTGGAGACTGAATTTTGAGCCTTACCACTGACTCAAATGAGATCAAGATTTCATTCCGACATGTTACGTTTTCACCTGTTCCTCAGTTGTTTTGAAATGTTGTTTGCATCTCTAACAAAGGAAATAGTTGAAATGTAATTCCCAATCATAAAAATAAAACCATTCTTTCTCTCTCTCTCTTTCCCCTATTTTCCTTTTTTTTATCCTGCCACAGTGAATATCATGAAGGAAAGATAAAGCCGCTTTCTCCCACTGAAATGGAAAATATGCGGGAAATATTAACAAAGAATCTCTACCAAATACGACATCGAGTAAGGATGAAGTTTTGCATACTTAAATATCCCACTGCTCTTTGAATATACTGATTACCTTCCTAACATATCTTTGGGCTAGTACATCTGCGGTACCATAGCATAATAATTAATGCTGTTATTTACTTCTATTGCCTATGAATCCATGTCCTATCATATGTACAGCAGCGTATTCATGCTCCTTTATGTTAATCTTATACTATTGATAAAGCTTAATGTTTTTGTCATATAACCTGCAATATACTTACATTATTTAAAAAGGATCATAGGTGCAAATTCAACCCAACACTGTCCACTTATATCAGTGTTTTGGTCACTTCATGATAAGGGATTAGATTTCCCATTTGCCTCCAGTTGTGAAGTTGTTTGTATTAAGAGCAGAGGTGATGAGCTGGAAAAATAGTGAAATAAAAGCAAAAGGACATTTCACATTTACCCTCCTGTGGCTAAGTAGTTTGAATGCCTGAGCCCTTGGAAAACATTCAAAAGTGGAGCAAGCTTCAGCTTGCTGGAGGTAAAAATGACTTTCCCCCTGGGTGACTCATCTTATCGCTTTCAAATGTCCTCTATTGACATATCGACTGAGCTAGTACAATATGGGGGTAAACTCTGTATTAAGCCAGCTTTTTCCAATTTCTCTTTCATTATAAGTATCAGCAGGTTAAAAAAAAAAAAAACAACAAACAAAACACATGCTTGTAAAGCAGATGACTAAAAAAATGCTGGCATAATTACTGTTCTTGTTCTTAATCATCTGCAGTATGATTTTGTTCACAAGGATTTATGATGCTTATTAAAACATTAAAGCAAAAAGTCTGTTTTGCACTGTGCGTATAGTTCAACACATTTGACATTTTGCTTTTCAGAACGTGACCACTGCTTTTATATTTCAGACAATGTCATATAACCGACATAGCCTGGCTGCAGATGCAAGTGAAAAGCAGGCCAAAGAAATTCTGATCCGTCGCCGGCACAGCCTTAGGGAAAGCCTGAGGAAAACGAACAGCCTGTCAAGAGAAAGACCGGTACTTGCATTTTGGTTATTCTACAGAAAGCAGTTCGTTGTAGCTAAATGTCATGCAGAAAAATAACTTCTGAAATGCAGAAAAAAATAAATCCTGAATTTGGAAGACAACTGCACATACCATGTCACACTTACACCTTGAGTTGCACACATGGGCCCCTTAATCTGTGTTGACCCCTTCAGCAGAGCTTCAGTCTGGTAGAATGTGATATGGGAGTGGGATCTGCTGCCATAATTTATCTTGGAGCTGAACAGGCTCTGTACACAGTGTACTGCTAAGGGATGGTCAGTATTCTCTACTAGTACTTTGATGAAGCATGGATGATTGAGGTCGAAAATGACTTTGAGGTAAACAAACTACTTACAGCATGCTCCAAAGTACGGGAAAGAGAACTTTTAATGGAGTCAGTCAGAGTGAGCTCTTCATTTGAAAAACCTTGTGGGGTCTTTAGTATTCATAAAATGTAGTCAGGACTTCAGGTTTTGACAGAGAATAGGAAAACCCCTTCTGCCTATGAGAAATGCTGTGGTATGATGATACTTGGCTCTCTGAGGCAATCCTGCAAATACCTTCACTGTAAACTCCAGACCATATTTGAATGGACCACACTGATTGAGCAGGGAGGGTGATCCCCCAAATCATCTTCCCATTTTAGGTATCAGGGAAATTTACTATCCTATAAATATGTGTTTTCATGTTACAGGAATACTTAGTGACTGTTGTCTTCATTGATACAGTTGTCCTTCAGCAGCTGAGGCTGGAATGATGCTTCCAATAAGTGCTATGTCTCATTTGTCATGATTACCAGGGATACTGTGGTGTTAATTGTGACAATAAGTCTGTTCCTGAATGATTTTTTCCCTCTCAACCACAGTTACATATGTTGTCTTTGTCATACAAATAAATGATTTACTAGGTGGAATAATGAAGAGACTCAGCAAGATTGAGACATTTTTGGGGCAGGGAGAGAAACAGGTGTCTGACAGCTTTTTAAAATGCACAGGCTGTAATTTTTAAAATAATTATCCTTGCATAAATCCACCACAGAGGGAAGCATAGTGGTCCTGAGCAGCACAACAATATCCAAAGAGGAAAAATCTCTGATGGAAGATAAATTTCCTTTCAGGTTCCCTTTGATTGTGCAACAATGAATGGTACAAGCAGAGGAGAACTGGTAGACTGGAAAGGTTTTAAAAAATCTTTGTAACAAATATAAGAAAGGATGCCCTTGAGAAACTCTTGAATTCAAAAGAAAAAAAAAAAGCAACCTGTCCTGGAAAGTACCTCTTATGTTCCAGGAAGTATGAGGTGTGCTCTGCTCCCGGGGCCTTTGGAGCTCAGTCTTGGGAAAACAAGGATTTTATGCCCTGACCTGGTAAATGATCATGCTGGTGCCTAACTTCCCCATCAACTTCGGTGTGACTAGTCAACTGTATAAAGCCATTTATATGTATAAAGCGCTTGCAGGATCAGAATACAGATTAGTTCTTGTGCCCGAGCTTCAGTCTCAACCTAATTATTGCAGCTGACTAATAAAAAGTTTCAAACTGGCGTTGCCTGAAGTGGTGCCAGGCCTGCAGTGTTTGCCTTCCTTAGGAGAACCTGTACAGGTAAGGTTGAGGTGAGAGAGCATATGTTTATTAACTTTGATCTCACTAGGCTTTCTTTTGATTAAGCTGCTTGAGATTACTCAGTCTTTACCTTAGTTAGCACAAACCTCAACCAGCAATCAGCATTAAATTGAGTGTGTAGTAAAAGATCACATATTAGCTAATCCCAAACTACTCTCCAGCCCTTTAGATACATAAACCTGTTCAAGCCTCAGTCGTGTATCTTAACATACATTATGCAGATACGTCAGTCTGCAGTAACTTAACATATCTTATATTTCTTTGCATGCAGGCTGCTGCAAATACAAAACGATTCCTTTCACTTCCTAAAAACACTAAACTCCCAGAGAAACTACGAGTGAGAAATAAATCATCTTCCAAAGGTAATGAAAAATTTTCTGCTGTCTCTTACTGTGCTGCAGTCATTTTACCTGCATAGAAGGAAAGTTTTCCCAGGGATGATGTAAAGAAATCAGCATATTAATTTTCAAATAAATATTAAATGTTTTATGTGCACATGCTTTCATTCTAGTTACCTTCATAGCATATTTCTAGGTGTTGGATATTTAGCAGGGGTCTTAGAGCATTAAAAGCGATGGCTCCTAAAGCAGGTATTGGAGTGTAGAGGAATGCCCCAGCAAGCAGGGTCTTGTGGGGCTTTCTCAGTTTCGATGGCGTAGTAGTGGAGTCCTCCCAGCACATCTCCTGGGAGCACGCAGCAGCCTGAAACGCTTCTGCACCAGAAACACTGCCATGGCTCATTCTCCTTGTCTTTATTCCATAATGTCCAGATCTGCCTCTTGGCTTATGAACCTATTTGGTTTCTTTTCTCACTGGGGTCAGGGTAGAGGACACTGCTCTGAGAAGCAAACCAGAGAGCAGAATGATGACATGAGGTCTGGTTTATAGTTCTCAGGAAGAACTTCTCAAAATGCTGTGGTTTACAACCAAAATGTCAATTTTTGTTTTCTGCTGAAACTCACAAATGTTTCATACCGTAATTCTTCAATTCTAACAAAAAAAAAAAATAATCTGGAGGAAGACAACAATTTGATGTGAAAACTTTGCCCAGTTCTATATATTACTTTTGATTATTACCATGCTTACACCATGCTTAGAAGAATGTCCTTTCATGACAAGCAACCATCAACATCTCTTGCTGGGAAGATTAAATCTGCACAGTCGCTAAAATGTCCTGATCCCCACCCCAATTAGTTTCCCACTCTTCCAAAGTAATTTAGCAGTAGACCATGTTTTTGTCTGTTAATAATTACATTTTTGCTCTCCTGAATGTAGGATGCCTTTTATTCTGTAGTTCTGTCTGCAGAGGTCACCTACTGTCACCTAGAATTAAAGAGGAAATGTGCCTCCAGATTATTCAATTGTCAAAAAATATATTATTTGACATATTTAGGGGGGAAAAAGCCTGCAAACACAGTCTGATGAAGACCTTCCTTGATATATAATTATCTGGGTGAATGGACAATTATGTGGTGATATATATTGTTGACCTCTTCCTCACCTTTTTAAAAGAAATAACATGTAGGCTACTAATGGAAGTTGTTCTTATGACTGTTGCACAATACACAATTCTTTGCTTTGATGTATTTAAAACATATCTGACTTAAGTCTAAGAACAAATCTGAGGCATTCGTAAGTGACTGTTAAAATGAATATCCAATGACTGAAGCGCGCAAGTTTTGATGAAGATGTTAATCAATTTAAAAGAAGTCTGCTGGGGAAAATATATGCACATGTACACATCCCGAAAGTTCCCAGCTTGGTGTACCTGACAGCGATCATTTAAGACCATTCCCAGAATGATTATGCCAGCTTTCCCTTGACCATTTTCTACCTTGCTGTGAGAAGGTGAAGGAGTCTGCAGCACTTGCAACCTGTGAGATTTGCCCTGTGGATTTTCTTTGATATCTTACATTCAGGCGTATTAAGGATGAGATGTTTCCTCCCATCTGTACGTTGACCTTGAGAGATCCTTGGCTTGGTGGAGTATTGATGCTCCTTTTCCAAAGTCAAGTTTCTAGTGCCCCTGTACGTGTCATGCTCTGGAAGTGCCTCTGGGTTGTGAGGGTGGGAAAGCTCTTTTTTGTATCCTGCTTGGACGTAAGCGGGGAGTAGACCCCAAGTATCTCTGAGAGAGACAGGTTTTTCCATGTCCAGAGCCAGAACTGGGGAAATGTCAGCTCAAACGGGGGGCACTTGGCAATTTAGGAGCAGCTGAGTGAGGGCTTTCTAAAAATCACAGTTTTGAGAGGAGGGATGTTTGTAAGTCAAATCTACCCTTTGTCCTGGGAGAGTTAAGTGTACATTACTAAGTCTAATGAGAAACCACTGAATTTGGAAAACACGGGTAAACTTTCTCCTATGGCTGCTAGTGCTCAGTGTGCTGTTAGTCAAATATTCCTGAAACAGTAATATCCTGCACCTAAAATCTTAATTTTGTTTTCAATTAACAGTGGGTGACAGCAGTGACTCTGAGATGGATGCCACTACCACAGTGCTCAATCTAAGACCCAGAGCAGGGAAAATCTTGAGAGACCAGAGACTGAGACAGCAGAGGCCACTGCCTGAGTTTCGAGTGGAGTGGAAGAACGAGGTTGACGGGAGCCAGGACCGACGAGGAGAGCAGCAGGAGCCAAGCGCTTTGCCTCAGCCATCCGTTGGGTTCAGGCAGCCGCTGCTGACGAGACCAAGATTTGGCACTTTGAGCAGGGAAGATTTGACTGCAGACCACGGGTCAGCAAGACCTACGCCACCACCACGGCTGGTTAGGCAGGCATCGCAAGGGGAAAGGCAGAGAAATAAGCCTGAGAACCAGACGTACTGAACATAGCAAAAAGAGAACTATTGGTAATAAACCGTGGACGTATCAAGTTAGAATTCTAAACTATCTGACCAGGCTATGGGATCCATTAAAAAAAAAAGAAAAAAACAAGCCTTAATGTGGATCTAACCACTTCCATTTGGGTAAAGTCAATGCCATTAACTAAGTGAAAGGAATACTGGAGCAATTGCAAAGCTGAAGACATTAAAAAAAAAAATCATCTCTTTTATAAATAAATTATGGCAATGCTTTAATTACATTATTTCCACTATTGAGATAGGATGGAAATGTGCCTTACCGCATCATCTCTTGTGGAACCAAGTCATGCAGGTTCAATACCCAGTTATCCATTGAAAATCATTGTTGAAAGCCCGCTGATGAATGGATTCTTAAAAAAATTTTTGTATCATTTCAGATTTTATTTATAATCAAATAATAACTTGTTTTAACCAGAGCTTTAATATGAGCAACACTGAAAATTGCACAATGCACCTATCATATAGACTTTGTAAGAAGAATAAATATATTTGTGAAGCCCAGTTTGTTCTAAGAGCTGTGATGCAGAAAAAGAGGAAGAAGAGAAGGAACAAGCTGTAGGAGCAGAATTGCAAATACAGTTTATAGAAAGGAGTTGCAACAGAGACCAGACCTGAATAGCTTGAATTTTTACTTCCTGAATTTTTGGCCATACGTTACCTTTGAAAGGTACTGAGGATCACCAAAGGAAATCTGAATTACCTTGACTTTCACTAATGTCAGCAAGAGCTGAGAGCACCTAGGAGGACACCAGAAGCCCCAAAGAGAGAAGACTTCAAGCAGATAAATAATGTTCTTGTTCAAAATTGCTTTTTGCACCTTAGTTTCTTGGTTGCAGTGCAAACACAGCAGTAGAATAGTTGCAGAGCACTGCACGTAGACAAAGCGAGCAGTCTCCTGTTTGAGTCAGGGACCACTGAGACTCAAGAAAGCTCATGCTTGTGACCCTGGTGAACTTGTTTTACTTTTTATTTCCTTGTCTGTAAAAGGGGAAAGATAATCTTTTCTTTGTCTGAGCTATGCACTCCAAGGAACAAAAATGTTCCATCTGAGTTATTTGTACAGAAAAGTAGCACAGCGAGGCCCTGGAATCAGTTGAAGTCACCGTGCACCTTAATAACACCCGTAAGAAACACAGACTTCTTCATCCTAGCGTAAATGGCTGCCGTTTGAGTGCATCTGGAAGGGAGGGTATATTAAAATAAATGATACTTAACTGTAGCTCTCAGGAATTTGCACTTTCTGTCCCACTTAATCTGTCTTAAGTTTTGGGCTTGCTTTAGCACAGATACACATTTCAGCATAATGCAGAAATCATTTTCATTCTACTTGTTACAAGATCGATAACTTTCATTGAAGAATGTATACTGTGAAATCATAAGTTTTCTTTTTCATTAGCACATTTCTAAATCTGTGGGCAATAAGATTAATTTTTTTTTTATTTAAGCTTGTTTTGAAAGAACTATTAAAAATCAGAATTTCCTTTTAAAATCACAGGGTAGATTTCTTTCAAAGGTTTGCGAGTAGGGTTGATAAATTAGTTTTATAAATGGAGATTTCAGACTTTCCTTATTCTAACAGCTTTACCAAAATGTTTATTTCACGTATGTATTTGAAACGTCAGACCTTCCTAAACTCTTTTATTGGTACAGGTCTTTTAGAGTTTTTCCTCTGTTCCAGCTATGGATGTTTCTGCTGTTTGTCAAATGCGAAGTCTAAGCTGCAGAGGGATGGCTGTGTGAACCCTAGAAATCTCAGTCAAATGTTCATGGCTATTCTCGACAAATGATTTTTGTGGAAGGCAATACTTAGCTACCCTTTAATGATCATCTCCTGTTTGGAAATAAAACTGTGTTTAAAAAAAGCCAGGAAACTTTAAAAACAAATTAGAATTTGTCTTTCAACAGGAAAATATGTTTCATCAGTAAAATTGTCAGCAAGTACTCTGTCACTGCATTATCGGGATCATGTTTGAATAAGAAAGAAGCCTTGAGCTTGAATTTCAGTTTTGAAACCACATCCTCCTTGCAGATCAGACTGTTTAGATTAGGTATTTTGTATCAGGCCCATCTGAAATCTGACCAAATAAATAAATGTGAAATGTTGCACATCAACATTTAGTTTACTCTCTGTGGAGCTTTCTTATTCGTGTGCTGATAATGACCAAGCAATTGGCTTGTATTTGGGGAAAGATGCCTTTTTTTCAGATGGCTAGCATTTTTTATGGCACAATTTTAAATAATGAATGCAGGTTTCAGGAACCTTACTGCTTTGCTTGTTGTCCATTAGTACAGTGCATGCTCAGATCATTGGTACTTAAAGTGGCTGCCCCATAGTACAAGCACATCAAATTGGAGGTCATTTTGATGAAATATGGTCTGAAGCTCTTGGTGCTTCAAAACACGTTGTTACCTTTCCAAAGCACTTGCAGATCCACCAAATACAAGCATCAAGGCAAATCTCCAGCGTGGTTACACTGTATAGCAGAATCACAAATCTCCTGGGACTCTCTCCTTGCAAGTGCTCTCTCCCTTCCTCGCTCCTGTTCCTCCCACCCTTTTCAGGCTCTTTTCCACTACTGCTGGGTCAGACCTCATCACCTCTGGGACCTGCTTTCCTGGGTGTTCTCCTTTTCGGAGGCAGTGACAGCTGAAGGTGACACTGGCCGTGCCCCAGGTAGCCCTTCTCATTCAACTCCTGCTCTGGTTCGGGTCAGAGGTTTGCCTTTTCCTATCTCTTCTCTTCTCTTCCTGCGAAGGAAAAAAAAGTTCAATGGCACTTTTTGATCTTTCTAAAAGGCCCATCTAACGTTAGCTTGCAGAGGAGACTTTTCCTTCATGTTCTATCATGGAGATGCCCAATTAATCTGTCCTCGAGCACCATCTGATGGGGAAAGTCATGTATTGACTGGGGACATTTTCACTTTTTCAGGAAACCACATCTTCTTCAGCTGTCACTGGGAAACTCACCAAATCCGCATACAAATGTTTGGTTTTCCAGATGGACTCCCCAGTACACTCCGCAGCATTGATATTTTACGGCCTTGGTGAGGAAGCACAATGCCTCGTTGTCCAGTTGGAAAATATATATGTTACACTCTGAATTAGGGTTTTCTGATAATTTCTTTCTCCCTTCAGCTGCTGAGAAGCCTATAAATTGAAAGTAAATAGGATAAGAAAGTAGGTATGGCAAAGGCTAGAGAGTAGACAAACATCCAGTTATCTGTTTTAAGCAAGTATTTGAAATAGAAAATGAGAATAATTTGCCATAAGAGGCAAAATTTTAAGGTCTGTCCTACTTGGTACTAAAGTATAACGCAAACTCCACTGAAACCACAGGTGTTCAACAACAGAAAACCATCCTGCATAGCAATTTAGAAACTTGAGACTATCGTTCTCCACTGAAGCCACATAGAAATCACATGGAGAAACAAAGTTAAAAATTTGGCAAAAGTAACATGCATGTTGTTACTAAGAGTATCTTGGGGTCTCTGGGAGCAAACACGTGGCACCGTATACCACTGTTTTCCAAAGATGCCAAGTCCACCAATTCCAAACACCAACAACATTTTAAGGCTGACACTGCAAGAAATGCTTCAGCTGGTCACCATTCCCAAAATCGTCTAAGTTCTGCCAACATCCCTCAGCTCCTGAGGAAAAGATGAAGGATTTTGGAATTGGCTGGAGGAATGCTTTTTGTACTGGAAGAGTTCTGATCCTTTAAAAATACACTTGTGAATATGCTTAACACAGGGCATCTGCAATACACAGCCCCAGCCAGGCCACTACAGATGGGAGGCTCAGGCCAGAAAACACGATGGAAGGGGACACAGTAGAGAGAGAAGCCGTGGACTGCCCAATTCAGGTGCTATTTAAATCTGAGAAAGATAGGAGGACTATCCCTCATTTTAGCAGATTGTGATACAACTTGCACTTTCTAGATAAACCTGCAGCTCTGCTTGACCCTGTCAGTTGTGTGAACAACCATCAGGAAGCTGTCTTACAACTTTGAAGTCAAAGAGTTTCATCTCCCTCTTGGCCTATTTATTAGATGGCCAGCTAAATGGGGAGCTACTTAAAAAATAATTAAAAAAAAAAATGCATGGCAGCTTTAATTCTCCTCTGAACAGCTGAAGGAACCTTAGCATTTGGGAGCTAATCAAAGTTGGGGCTGAAAATTGTCCCTCTTGGATACCGTGCTGAGCCACTTGAGAATTTTATCCATCAGAAGAATTGTTGCAGGTGGTAGACAGATCTTCTAATAGGACAACACGATGGGAGATTGGGTTAGCACCATTCCTCTCCCAGGTCGGCAAACACTGATGGATGTGCTTTGGAAGCCTCTTTATCCTGTGAGATTTGAGGGGCTAAGATTGCAGAAGGGGAAGCAATAGTTACAGGGGCTGCTCTGGTCAGTCTCACTGGTTCATGATCTGAAATATGCTCAGGTTTAAGTTTGTGATTTGTGAGTTACAACAGCACCCTATTTGCCACAGACTTTGTTTCAAAAGTATTTTTTTGCCACAAAAAGGAAAAGGCATTTTAAATATCCCAATTTACTTCATTTGTTTTTCATATCTAAGACCTCCTATTAATCACAAATTTGACAGAATGGAAGAACAGTTCCTATCACATAGCACATCTCAAAAATAGTTCTTCGACGCTAATTTAGGATTTAAAATAACCAGAAATTTGGCTTTATTTCTCCTCGTAAGTTAACACAAGTTTTTCAAGACTTCCCTTTAAAACAAGCTCTACACACGCTTTCATTTTTATGAGAAAGAAGTCTGAGCTCCACTGTCATTTGGTTCTCAAAGTTCAGGCACCAATATATTCCCTTGCAAGATTCATGATCAGCTCTTTCTGAATGAGTCTTCAAAATTATAGCAGTAACAGCACAGTCAAGTCTTGGGGTTTCGAATCCCAAAGCACCAAGCTGTAAAGTATCATTTACCCAGGGGTATTCCACAGCACCCATAACCAAATGGGGGCTGGCAGCACCTGAACATACGTTCTAGCTGATGGGAACTTCTGTGGGTGATAGCATTACAGGGTGCTTGAAGTAATGAGCAAGCCAGTCAGTAAGCAACGCGTATCCTGTTTTGTTGCTGCATTATCTGCTCAATCATCAACCTGTTCTCAGAAAATGAGAACGATACTGACCTGTGCGATGGTGCTGCAGT